GGGGGGGGGCTACCATAAAGGATTTCAAATGGCATGAGGTTAAGCACATATGGGGTATTTCTAACCCAGAACAGGGCATAAGGTAGGAGCATGACCCAGTCCCTGCCAGTTTCTATTGCCAATTTAGATAAAGTCTCCTTGATTGATCTATTCATCCTTTCTACTTGCCTGGAACTTTGGGGATTATATTCACAATGTAGTTTCCAATCAGTCCCCAAGGTCCAGGACAGACCCTGTATGATTTTGCTGACAAAAGCAGGGCCGTTGTCTGAACCTATTTTCTCAGGCACCCCATATCGTGGGATGATATCTTCTAAAATTTTCTTTGCTACTACGGGGAATGCCTCAGCCCACCCAGAAAAGGTGTCAACTAGTACTAGTAGATATTTATATCCGTACCTTCCTGGCCTTACCTCTGTAAAGTCTATCTCCCAGCTTACTCCTGGCTTCCACCCTCTCTCCCTCCTACCTGAATGTTGATGGTTACTTTTCTAGACTTCATGACCTGGCAGGCACGACACTGGTCGATCGTTTCTCTGAGAGTCCTTCTTTGATGGTGAAACCAGAGCTTGGCGGTCTCTAAGAGGTAGCCCATTTTCTTTTCTCCTAGATGTGTAGTCTGGTGCAGATGTAGGATTAGATGTTTTCCTAGGTCCTCTGGCAGCAGCAGTTTCCCTTCAGGGTCTCGATACCAGAGGTCCGACCCAGCCTCGGCGTCTACCTTCTGAGTGACCCACTGGATATCGTCCTTGGAATACAAGGGGGTGAGGGGTAGCTTACCCATGCTTGGTGGTGGGAGCTGCAGACTCAGAATGGTAGTTGCGCAGTTTTTCGCTGCCTCGCTCACTGCAGCATCGGCTGCCCGGTTTCCTGCTCCCTCCGGAGCTCCTCCCTTCTGATGGCCGGGGATGTGTACGATGGCAACGGCTTTCAGTTTCTGTACCGCCAATAGTAGCTGTAAAATGCCCTCCTTGTTTTTAATCTCTTTTCCTTCCTCAGTGAGGAAACCTCGCTCCCGATAGATTGCCCCATGGAGATGTACAGTTCCAAAGGCATATTGGCTGTCTGTGTAAACAGTGAGTCTCCATCCCTCTGCCCACTCGAGGGCTTCAGCAAGGGCTATCAGTTCTGCTGGCTGGGTTGATGTGCCTCTTGGTAGCGCCTGGGCCCAGACTATTTTCCCTTTCTGATCTACCACTGCCGCTCCTGAGTATCGCTCCCCTCGCTCTACATAGCTGCTCCCATCTGTATACCAAGTCAGGTCAGAATTGTTTAACCGCCGGTCCCGTAAGTCTCTTCGAACCGCTGTCACCTCAGCTAGGATTTCTGAGCAGTGGTGTAGCAGGGCTTCTAGGTCAGGTACAGGGAGTAGGGTGGCGGGGTTCAGGGTAGCCGGGGCCTCAAACATGACCCGGGGCGCATCTAATAGGAGGCCTTGGTAGTGAGTCAGCCGGGCGTTGGTTAGCCACTTACCGGGGGCTTGCCTTAATATTCCCTCTATTGCATGGGGGGTGGTGATTGCTAGTTGCTGTCCGAAGGTTAATTTGTCAGCGTCATGTACTAGTGTCACCGTGGCAGCTATGACCCGTAAGCACGGAGGCCATCCTGCCATGACAGGGTCCAATTTCTTTGATAAGTAAGCAACCGGCTTTTGCCAGGGTCCCAGAATCTGGAGCAATACCCCCTTAGCTACCCCCTTTCTTTCATCTACAAATAGCTGGAAAGGCTTGGTCGGATCAGGCAGCGTTAAGGCCGGCGCTTCCAGTAGGGCCCTAGTCACGGTCGTCCCCTGCCACAAGTACCCGAGCGGCCTCTCTGGGCTTAAACTCTGTGCCCCCTTTGCCTGGCCCTCTGCGGGATGGGCACTCTGACTCCCAATGTCCTTTTTTCTTGCAGAGGGCACATTGATCTCTCTCTAGTCTGGACTGTCAAGGGCCTCCGCCAGCCTGCCAGGGCTTCTCCTGCCTAACCTTTTCTGGTCCCTCCCTGGCACCTGCAAAAAATATCTTGGCTAGTTCTTTCTGGTGTCTTTGATTTTCCTTAACTTGAAATTCCCTATCTTCTTGTCTAATTTTCTCCATTCTCTCCTGATCTTCCCTCCTGAGCCTGACTGCTCGTTCTTCTGGTGTCTCCCGGTTGTTATACACTTTCTCTGCTACTTTTAGTAAGTCCTGCACTGACTGTCCTCCGAGCCCCTCTATCTTTTGTAACTTCTTCCTAATGTCAGGGGCTGCTTGGTTCACAAAAGCTAAGACTACCACGGCCCTGGATTCTGTGGCTAAGGGGTCCATAGGAGTATATTGCCTGAAGGCCTCATAGAGTCTCTCAAGAAAAGCTCCTGGAGTCTCATTGGCTTCCTGCCTGACTGCATTTACCTTTGCCAAATTAGTGGGCTTTCGAGCCGCAGCACGGAGACCAGCCATTAGAACCTGGTGGTGAGCTCGAAGACGCTCCCTACCTTGATCTTGGTCGAAATCCCAAGTGGGACGGTCCAGGGGAAATCCTTCATTAATGAGGTTAGGCTGAGTGGTGGGCCACCCATCAACGCCCGGGACTAGCTTCCGAGCCTCTGCCAGGATCCTTTCTCTTTCTTCGGTTGTGAAAAGAACCTTCAAAAGCTGTTGACAGTCATCCCAAGTGGGATTATGAGTAAAAATGACAGAATCTAAGAGATCAATTAATTCCTTGGGGTTCTCAGAGAAAGGAGCATTCTGGGATTTCCAATTATAGAGGTCACTGGAGGAGAAAGGCCAGTATTGGTAGGATCGCTGGCCGTTAGCCCCTATAGGACCAATGTTTGGGAGAGGGAGAGCAACTGTAGAGGAAGGGCCCTCTCCCTCTCCTGGGTCTTCTTGGCGCCATGGTCTCCACAGTCATTCGGCAATACTGTCCCCCCGGGGCCCTGAACTGGAGACTGCAGCTTCTGGTCCTGCCGGTGGAGGAGCATAAGGGAGGAGGGACCTCTTCTACATCTAGATCTATGAGGGAAGGATAAATGCGGTCCTTGGACAGAATAGGTTTAGGAGGAGCTGATGGTGCTGGCACCGGGCCATGGGAGTCCATAGGCTGAGTCACTGCCAGCACCTGGGCTCCTATTGGTTTGGGAGGCAAAAAAGGTTTTAACCAGGAAGGGGGGCTTTCAACCATCACCTGCCACATGAGAATATATGGGAATTGGTCAGAATGTCCGTGGGGTCCACCTCGGTTTACAATTTCCCAGACCTTCTTAATTATGGGGAGATAGAATGTCTCCTTGGGTGACCACCCTACCCCAAACGTCGGCCATTCTACTGAATAGAAGGTCTGCAGTTTTCTCTTACGGACTTCCATGCCATAATTTCGTCCTCAGGACCTAAACTCGGAAAAATGGTCAACAAAGACAGAGAGTGGGGTGGATTGGATCTGTCCCATAGCCAGGTCCCAGGTGAAGGGTCCAAAGATACCTAGACAGAGCAAACTTGTAACAAAAGCGACAACAAAAATTCAACATGAAGTAGACAACAGTGAACGGAAAACAAAACGCCAGTACGTTCCCGTAATTTCTCTCTCCGACCCACTCTTACCTAACAGCGCTCACCGTTCCCTAGCGGGTTCTGGAGCCTCGGGGACATCTCCCCAGCTCCCCCGGCGGCCTTCCGTGGTCTGCACAGGCACACTGCCAGGATTTACGGGACCTTCCTAGGCTCTCTTGCCTAGGGTCAGACGGATCGCTCTATCGATCCACTTGGGCCTCTCGACCCCTAAGAGTTGCCTCCAAGTAACCGCGGCTCCCTACAGAATATATCCCTATATCAGCAGTGGAGGGTTGCCTGATCCTCCTCCTGGGGATCCTGGACGAGCCCCCAAATGTTATGTCTGAGAATCAGATCCCCTATGCAGCAGAAAGACCATCACTCCAGAGCTGATAATGTAACAGCAAAACGGACTTTTATTCCAGCTAGCTGGGGTTCGGTCGTATCCAATGCAGTGGAATTCTGACTCGAACCCTGATCTAAATTTACAACAAGCTTATATAGGGTTACAGTGAGCAAGCAATCATTGTCCTTGCAAGGGTTGCAAGGGTTGTAAATTCTTCGAGAAGGGTGGGCTCAGGATGTTTCTCAACCACAGGCGCCTGAAACTTGAGTGCACCTGGTATTTGTCAAACCCACCAGTTTAAGTTAATTCCTGGAACTGCCTCCACCCTCTGCAGTTTACTGAGTCACTCATGTATGCCTTCTGTTCTGCCCTGGGGCCTAGGGGCCTGTCTCTGTCTTGGTGGGTCCTCACAGTAATGATCACCAACCATCTTCATGGACAGTGCCAAATATTTTGGTTTGGACTTCAAAGGCTAACTTCAGGGACCACAAGCTAATCTAACAAGTGCAGATGAAGGGAGGTACCACCACAAGAAGGATAAAAGTGAAACTAAGAACGGTGACACTTGCAACTTGCCCTCCTGCGAATGAGCTCGTGTGTCTGGCTTGCTGGTCGTTGATTATTCCAGGGCTTTGCTGTCTTGAGCTAGTTCAGCAGTCTTCCTTGCAATATGTGGACTCCCTGGATACTGAGGCTTCTGTGATTCTGAGTGACCAGTAACCACCACTCTGCAAATAGCCAGGACCAATGGACATTTGAGACCGTTGGACTTATGGTTTAACCCCCAATACATGTATGTATTCTGATGTGTTTGTAATTTGGATTACACCTGCAAGTAATAAAAGCTAATTGACAGCATAGTCACCTCTGTTGGTTCACTGTTGTTACTTTGTGTCGAGAACCTAGAGGGCCAAGTGACCACCTAGGGTCCCAGTCTGGATCAGGCACCCTTGATGTTATCTGGGCATCAGAACATTAAATGCTTTATAGAAAAAGCTATACTCACAGCCAGAGTGCTTGTGAAACTGTGGAAAGCATGTTATAGACACTTATTCAATATGCCTAAGTAACTCAGATGTGTGTATGTTTATGTGCATGTGTGTGTGTACATGAGCCCTTTAACAATTAGAGAAAATAAATTTGAACAATGTTTATCATACTTTTAATGATAAAATTATTTCTGGGGACCTAAATCAGATAACTAATGAGGTAGGAATGTCACAATGCATTTGTGGTACCTGGATGGATTCCAGATCTTAACAAGGGCAGATTATGCTGACAATAGTGATTTATGTATCTTCCAAGGTTTGTTAAATCAGATAATATGTAGGAAAGTGAGGTAATAAATAGAGTACATGTGAGTAAATGGAAGTAAAATCAAGTGAAAATTTGAGACAACCATTTACGTAATTATTTTCTTAAAATTTCCTTTTGGGAAAAGTAAAACTCTCATTATTTACCAATGATGTGATACTATATATAGAAAACCTTAAAGACTCCACTAAGAACTATTAGAATGAATAAATAAGTTTGATAAAGTTACAGGATACAGACTCAATATACAGATATCTCTTGCATTTCTATATACAATAAAAATAATGAGAAATTAGGAAAACAATCCCATTTAAAATTGCATTGCAAATGATAAAATACATAGGAATAAATTTAGTTAAGAATATGTTCAACAGCCAAGCCGGGCGTGGCTCAGCAGTTGAGTGTCGACCTAGGATCCAGGCGATCAGGGTTCGATTCCCTGTCAGGGCACATGCCCGGGTTGTGGGCTGAAGCTGATCAATGACTCTCTCATCATTGATGTTTCTATCTCTCTCTCTCCCTCTCCCTTCCTCTCTCTGAAATCAATAAAGATATATTTAAAAAAAGAAAAAAGAAGAATATGTTCAACAAAAGAGGTAAAAGACCTGTCCTCTGAAAACTGTAAAAAGTTGAAGAAGCCCTGGCTGGGTGACTCAGTTGCTTGGAGCATCATCCCATACACCAAAAGGTTCTCATTTGATTCCCTGTCAGGGCACATACCTAGGTTGTGGGTTCATTCCCCTTCGACCAAGTAAGTGAGGCAACCGATAGATGTTTCTCTCTCACATCAATGTTTCCCTCTCTTTCTCTCTCCTTTCCCCCTCTCTCTAAAATCATAAAAACATCCTTGGATGAGGATTAAAAATTTTTTGAAGAAAAATTGAATATACAAATAAATAGAAGGATATATCTTGCTCATGGATTAGAAGGATTAATATTGTTTAAATGTCCTTACTACCTAAAACAAAATACAGGTCCAATGACATCTCTATTAAAATAGCAATGGAAATATTCTCAGTATTAGAACAACTAATCCTAAAATTTACATGGAACCACAAAAATCCTGAATAGTCAGAGGTATCATAAGAAAAAAAAAGCTGGAAGGTATTACACTACCTGATATCAAACTATTATAAAGGTATAGTAATCAAAATAGCATAATGCTGGCATAAAAAAACAGATACATAGATCAATGGAAAAGAATAGAGAGCCCAGAAATTTATTCTAGCTTACATGGTCAATTAATCTATAACAAAGAAGGCAAGAATATTCAGTAAGACTTTGAAAGACTTCAATAAGTGGTGTTGGGAAAACTGGACAGATATATTCAAAAAAGAAACAGAAAATTGGGCCACTTTCTTACACCATGCACAAAAATAAACTCAAAATGAATTAAAGACTTAAATGTAAGACATGAAACCATAAAGCTCCTAGAAGAAAACATAGGCAGAAAATTTGATGTTGCTTTTAGCAATATCTTTTTGAATATGCCTCCTTAGGTGAGGGCAAAAAAAGAGAGACAATATCAAACTAAAAAATTTTGCATAGCAAAGAAAACCATCAACAAAATGAAAATACAACCTACAGAATGGGAAAAGATATCTGCAAATGACACAGCCAATAAGTAGTTAATATAAAAAATATATAAGAAACATACTATTTAATACCCCAAAAAAGTCCAATTAAAAAATAGGCAGGGGACCTGAATGGACATTTCTCTACAGAGAGCATATAGATGTTCAACAGATATAAGATAAGATGCTCAACATCACTAATAAACAGGGAAATTCAAATGAAAACCACAATGAAATATCACCACACACCAGTAAGAATAACTATAATTAATTAATTGACAAGTAAAAAGTGCTGGTAAGGAACCAGGGAAAAGGGAACCCTCAAACACTGTTGATGCAATAGTAAATTAGTGCAGTCACTGTGAAAAGCAGTATGGAGGCTCCTCAAAAAAATTAAAAATAGAGTTGCCACACAATCCAGCAATTCCTCTTCTGGCTATTTATCTGAAGAACGCAAAAACACTAATTTGAAAAGATATATGCATCCCTCTATTCTTTGCAGCATTACTAGTAAAAGCCATACTATGGAAGCAACCTAGATGTTCATCAATAGATGAATGGATAAAGAATATGTGAGTGTATATATCAAGAAGATATATATTTGAATATTATTTAGCAATAAAAAAGAATAATATTTTGTCATTTGTGACAACATGGATGGGCCTTGAGGGTCTTACGCTAAGAGAAATAAGAAATAAGTCAGACAGAAAAAGACAAATACCATTTGATTTCTCTTATATGTGAAATCTAAAGAGAAAAAAAAATAAAACAGAAGCAAACTCTTGGATACAGAGAAAACCAATTTATCTTTTACAGCTTGTTCTCTATATTTACGGGTAAGGGGATGAAGTAAAAGAAAAAATTCCTTTTGATAAAAAAAATTTGTGAAATCAATCTACACTAGTGAAATCACTCCAAATAAAATTGTTCAGGCATTGTCTTAAATGCAACTTATTAAAAGCCCAACTCCATAAATATAAAAATAGCACTGCATTTTAATTTAAAAATGGAATATGTAGCAAAAGACTCAGAGACATGGATTATTATTAGCTATGACAGTGACCATTTGCATGGCCTTGTATGTCCTTGTCTGTTAAAAAAAAAATGAACAATGTTGCTTATTTTGCCTTCCCTGCACTATTGCTCTAAGAAATAAATAAGATCTTTTTTAACTTCTGAAGCACTCTGCAAATGTAAGGAATTGTTATTATTCGGTTATTCTTTGGAGTTGCACTATGTCTTACCATTTGCAGAAAAAGACATTGTACACGAATTGAAAGATAAAACTGCAACACTCCTACATATCTGAGCTGTTCTCTGCTTGGGCACTTTTTAACACTTTTATAGCTAAATATAACAGAGTAGACTCTAATGCAGAAGGTGGAGGCAAATTGTTAGGCT